TGCAATTAGATTAAGAGTATTCTCACATATCAGCAATAGTAGAGAAGTGTAAAGGATAAGTTAGGGAATTCTAGGAACACATGGAATAATGTTGAAGTCAAACTTAGTTGTTCTATCCATGTTTGTATCTTTTGCTCTTTTGCTACTGTTAACAGTGCACTCTATCTTTGATTTGTAATTCCAAAATTTGCTTTATGCATGTCCGCATCAAAATTAATGAAATTTGTGGATGTGTAGGGAGGATATCGAGGTTTCTATTCCAAAAACATAATTCCCTTGACACCAAAGGTTGTGAATGATATTCATAAACGTGGTGGAACCATACTTGGGACATCTCGAGGAGGTCATGTTACCAAGAAAATAGTAGATAGCATTCAGGACCGGGATATCAATCAGGTAAAAATAAAAAAAAAATTATTTGAGAAGTAACTCAGGATATTTCATTCGAGAACCAACTCAGGTCTCAGGACATTTTCTTTACATCTAATCTGTGCGTCCTGTTGAGATATTTGTGTTGCCTTTTGTTTTCAAGGTTTATATTATTGGAGGAGATGGAACACAGAGAGGAGCAGCGGTGATATTTGAGGTAGACCTTCTAGCCATTAACCCATAACCATTCCACAAAACACACTTCAGAAGAGCATCTTTTAGATCAATTCATTCTATTAATATTTAGTTTGTTGATGGAGAAAACAATGAAAGTGTGTTCACTCATGTTTATTCTGCCTTTCTCCTACAGGAAATCAGACGGCGTGGTCTCAATGTTTCAGTTGCTGGAATCCCTAAGACAATTGATAATGATATACCGGTAACTACTTTGTCATGTAGATTACCTGGCATGTGGTACTTGTAATTCGACAAGTACCAAAATTTCAGTGGGTAACAAAATTATTTTTGGTGATCTTTTCTGATTCTCTCCCAGGTTATTGACAAGTCTTTCGGTTTTGATTCTGCCGTTGAGGAAGCCCAACGTGCTATTAGTGCTGCTCATGTTGAAGCTACTAGTTTTGAGAATGGAATTGGCCTTGTAAAGTTAATGGGACGGGATAGTGGTAAGATTCACATGCTATACTTTTTGAGTGCTGTTTGATCCACATGCTATACCTTCCCTGAGGGAAATTTTAAGTAGTATCTCAGAACTTCTTTAAGGTCTTGAAAAGTTCTTTTTCGTTCCTGGATAGCAACATTTGTAGAGGTTTGCAAGGGAGTTTCGTGTTGATAATGCTACATATACATGACAAAGCTGATTTATTATGATTTTATAGCACATAGATTGGTATGAGTTGTCTGGTCGACGTTTTTTGAACACTTGTGTTGAATGTGCAGGGTTCATTGCTATGTATGCTACTCTTGCCAGTCGAGATGTCGATTGCTGCTTGATTCCCGAGTCCCCTTTCTATCTTGAGGGACGTGGTGGACTGTTTGAGTACATAGAGCATAGGCTCAAAGAAAATGGACACATGGTTATAGTCATAGCTGAAGGTGCCGCCCAAGAGCTAGTTTCTGAGAGTTTGAGATGCACCGGTAAGCAGGATCCTTCAGGGAATAAGCTTTTACAAGATGTTGGCCTATGGATCTCGGAAAGGATAAAGGTACGTTGGGATTTACTTAATGAAATCCATGTTCTTCCTCATTAAGTGCATACGGTGCTTGCCCTTTTATGTATTGTATGTTATTCCAAATTTCATTGAATAGTTGAACACTACATTGTATGCAGTTGTACGGCTAGCGCCTTCTTTCAGTTATTTCAAAAATTTGAAGCTTATCTGAATGAGAATGCAGACTGACTCATTTGTAAGGTACTAAATGCTATGGACTTTTTTGCAGGAACATTTCTCTAAACAAAAGAAGATGCTCATTAATCTTAAATATATAGGTCGGTATTGATTGTCTGAATGCCAAATTTCTAATCTTTTGCAGATGAGATTAGCAGGAACCTAACAGCCTATTTCTCTGTTTCTAATGTGCAGATCCGACATACATGATTCGGGCTATTCCAAGTAATGCATCTGACAATGTGTATTGCACTCTTCTTGCTCAAAGTGCTGTGCACGGAGCAATGGCTGGCTATACTGGCTTTACAGTCGGTCCTGTCAATGGCAGACATGCTTACATACCCTTTAATGTGAGTTCATTTCCTTCCACGGAAATACCAGACCTCACTGCTTTTTCGTATTACTTATTGGTGTTTCCACATTTTACTTTCAAGTTTCTCCTTATCAACCTGGGTCGTAGCTAATTATGTAACAGCCCAACCCACTAGTGACATTGTTCGTTATAGGCACAGGCTCGCACGGCTTTAAAACGCGGCACTAGGATTTAAGGCTTATTTCCTTATATATCCAACATCTCTCCTGTGTTTTGTTGATGTGGGGTTCGTTTAGGGTGTCACGGTTTAATGAAGGGAGTTCAATTGAAGTCCCTTCATCCGAAAACAGGAAAACTATACTGCCCATACACACAAATACACGTACATATATGAATTATTGAATTTCCTTGACATGAGAGAAGCTTTCGGTGTAGCAGTTAAGGTGGTTCATTCTTGTATTTTTTTCCGAATCCCCTTATTAGAATACCTAGCTCCGCCATTATCTTTCTCACTTTAGTGTCACGAGTGTATATAATGCCCAAGATTGGCAGCAGTACTATACAAATAGGTTTCTGCATGAGATGCAGTGATTCTGCTATTTTTTATTATGATCTGCTTTTACGTGGTGCCTGCAGGGAATCACTGAGACACAAAACAAGGTAGTGATAACGGACAGGATGTGGGCGAGACTTCTATCGTCAACCAATCAACCTAGCTTCTTGAGAACAAGAGATATAATTAAAGCGCACAAGGAGGAAGAACCACCTACTCAGTTGTCAGACGATTCAATTACAGACGATAATTTGATGGAGAAACAAGTCCTCTGCTAAGTAACTTTGAACTTCATATGGATCCATTGTGTACATTGAGAAAAAAAAGGAGTTGAGCTCTTGCGATAGAATCCTACAGTTCTGTAATCTCAATGTGTGATGATTACCAGCTTGGTGAGTTTTACCCGATGTGTATTTTTGTAAATGTAAACAATATACAATAATTAAGAAAAGAGCATACTTGATTTTGATGCGGAAACTGATACTGTTTGTGTACCTGCAGAAGTTTCAATCGGACTGTAAATGCAGATTGCTATTGTTATAAATACTATGGAGTATAAAATAACATTAAAATCATGTTTTAACAATGGTCAAGTAAATTTATTTGGTCTCCATTGTAGTTTCCAAATTATGCTGTTGGTATGGTATGAATAAGACATGAATAACAGATAAGAGTTTAAAATTCAATAAGTCTAAATGTCTAAAAGACCGCCTCTCAAATTTGGGCAAGTCCTTTGAGAAAGTATGCACTTGTATCAAAATCATAACTTCAACGATCACAAATGGTGATTTGGGAGTTAAGTTAGAGGTCATTTGACATGTCTCCTTCCGTTTCCTAATAACTGTAAATAAGTGGTGTATAAATCAATTTTAATTTCGTAAATTAGCCAGTGTTTTGGTTCTATCTCGATGCTTGGATTAGCTTATTTGACGTAGCTGAATAGTATTAGGTGCTGAAAAAGCATTTTTAAGTGCTAAAACTGATTTAGTAAAGGAATTTTTACATTCCTATACATTATATGAAACTATATTACCCTCCTTACTCAAGTTTTACTATAATTATATTTTATATACCCAATTACCATTTATGTACATTTTAAGAGAATTAATGATAATAATTAGTGTCCTAAAATAACTCTAACGTATCTTTCACTCCCCACGTTCTCTCTCCACATCCCAATCCCTCCCTCACGTATCTTGCACTCCCTCACGATTCCACCATTGACAACCATTAAAAAGCTTTGAAGCTTTGAATTCGAATTTGGGTTTTCAAAAAATATTATTTGTTTGAATTGGGTGTTGTTGCAAAGAATTGGGAATTCTCTCTGCGTCTCTCTCTATCTCTCAATCCCTAATTTCAGTAATGTAAAGCAAAGGAAAAGAGAGCATTAATTCTACCATTGACAACCTTTAAAAAGCTTTGAATTCGAATTTGAGTTTTCAAAAACCATTATTTGTTTGTATTGGGTGTTGTTGCAAACAATAGGGAATATGGTTTGGAATTTATATCTCAATTTTGAGGGTGTAAAAAGAAGAAGAAGACGACGACGACATGATATACATTATATTTATGAAATTGTAGTAAAATTGTATTATATATATATATATATATATATATATATAGCTATAATACAATTTTTCTGTAATATTTATATATATAATACAATTTTTCTAAACTCTTTATTCTTCCATATTCACATGTCAAGATCTATTAAACTCTTATATCTTTATTCGAATTTAAAATGATATTTTATCGATAATTTTAAAATTAAATAAAACATATCATTATTTAGGTTTCATATTGATTTTTGTGTTTAATTATAAAATTCGGTTAAATTTGAAATTGTAGATAAAAAAAATTGTTAGATGATTAAGAAAATAACTATCATGTCTTATTATAAAAATTCTCCCATAAAAATATTTGAATAGATCATATGTTTGTGGGTTCTTTTGATTTTTACTAAACTTATATTCACTTATCAAGTTTTATCTATAACTTTAACAAAGTAAGATTGAAATAATATTCATGTAATAAAAAATCTGAAAATTAAAAAAAAACGGTAAAATCGAACCAATTCAAACCAATATAGTTGGTTTGGTTTGATTTTGATAAAAACTGAACCAACCCGAGTCATGAACACCCCTAATGGCAGGTTAAGACTTCTTTCACTTAAAAAAAAATTCTGTTAAGAATCTTAATAAACATTAGTTTGAGGGATCAAATCACACAATTAGACTAGTTTAAGGCTCAAGGTGCTCAGTTGAATAATACATGAATCAAAACTGAAATAATTCAATAATACAGGACTAAATCGCTATTTTCCCAAAACAAAAAGAAATCCTCGTTACATTGAAGACCCATCTGAAATTCAACCAGACCGTCAATTCCAAAAACCCAAAGAAATCAAAACCAGGCAAAGTTCTCTTTTTCAATTGGATAATTCAAAGAATTATTCTGCTGATTCCAAAATCAAAATTGAGAAGAAGATCAGAAAAAGATGGGGATCAGATTCGTATTAATGGTGAATAAGCAAGGGCAAACTCGGCTGGCTCAGTACTATGAGTACCTCACTTTAGAAGAAAGGCGTGCTCTTGAGGGTGAAATTGTGCGTAAATGCCTTGCTCGCAATGAACAGCAGGTCACACTCATTCCTCTTCAGTTCTATCGATCTTACTATCTCCCTTTGAATGTTTAGGATTTGGCCTGTAGTTGTTTTTTATTTTTTCCTGAGTTTAATTGTTGATATCTCGGAATTTATCGTGTAAGCCTTCAGCTGATGGATCTTGTTCCTTTCGTTTCCTTCACTTGAGCGTTGATAGCTTGTACAGCTTGCATATTTGAGATCATAGGATGTTTTACATTTTTTTAAATGAACATCAATAAGATCCACCCGATTGGGTGGATCCCTATTGATGTCCATTTTTTTTTACTTATTTGTTGTTTTTGCGAATGATTAGCTGGTTGGGGAAGGGGATGGAGAAACAATAGGGTTTTTTCTTCAAATAGCTTGTGTTCAATCATTAAGGAGGACATTGGCGAAGCCAGAAATTCCAACTAGGGGATTCATAAACAGTATACTAAAAGGTTTCTTTATATAGAGGGTTCACATAATGTTTTTATCTGTATATACAATGTAATTTTCTGGCAGGGGATTCAACTAAACCCGCTTCACCATACATAACTCTTCCACCGAAGGCGGAGTTGAGCTATTTTTGTAGATTTTTGTTGTTGTTGTTATTGTTGTTGTGTGTGTGTGGGG